GAAGAAGAAGAGGAAGAGGAAGAAGAGGAAGAGGAAGAGGAGGAAGAGGAAGAGGAAGAAGAGGAAGAAGAAGAAGAGAAAGAAGAGGAAGAGGAAGAAGAAGAGGAAGAAGAAGAAGCACAAGGAAGAAGAAGAAGAAGAAGAAACACTTGTTGAGACTGCATCTCCTTTTGCTAATAAGTGGTTTCTAGTTGTAACACCAGTCCTCTGAACAAAGAAGTCACTTTTGAGTACATAAGGAAAAATAACCACATGCTAAAAGGATAAGACATTCCTCTGACATCTTTACTGGGCCATCTCTTCCTCTAACACTTCAGAAGCTTAGAAATGTAAAGTATTCTTTTGTTAGCTGCAAGAACAAGATAAAGGAGAAATGCCCTTTTTCTTGAGATCGCAACTATGAAGTCACGTGGTTATGCAAAGTCTGCATTTGTGTGCAAAACACACACTGATCTTTTTTTAACTTTTAAGTTCAGGGATTCAAGTACAGGATTGTTCCGAAGGTAAACTTGTGTCCTGGGGATTTGTTGTACCGATTATTTCATCATCCAGGTATTAAGCCTAGTACCCATTAGTTATAGCTCCTGATCCTCTCCCTCCTCCCACCCTCCAGCCAGCGCTGCGCTCCAGTGTGTGTTGTTCCCCTCTGTGTGTCCATGTGTTCTCATCATTCAGCTCCCACTTAGAAGTGAGAACATGCAGTATTTGGTTTTCTGTTCCTGGAAAAACACTTATACATTTATCTTTTTTTTGAGACAGAGGCTCGTTCTTATCACCCAGGCTGGAGTGCAATGGCGCTATCTGGGCTCACTGCAATCTCTGCCTCCCATGTTCAAGTGATTCTCCTGTCTCAGCCTCCTGAGTAGCTGGGACTGCAGGTGCCTGCCACCATGCTTGGCTAATTTTTTGCAATTTTAGTAGGGATGGGGTTTCACTGTGTTAGCCAGGATGGTCTCGATCTCTTGACCTCGTGATCTGCCCACCTCAGCCTCCCAAAGTGCTGGGATTACAGGCATGAGCCATGAGCCACCATGCCCAGCCTATCTTTTTTGGTTTTTTTTTTGTTTTTTTTTTGAGACAGAGTCTCACTCTTGTTGCCCAGGCTGGAGTGCAATGGCGCTATCTGGGCTCACTGCAACCTCTGCCTCCCGGGTTCAAGAGATTGTCCTGTCTCAGCCTCCCGAGTAGCTGGTATTACAGGCGCCCGCTACCATGCCTGGCTAATTTTTGTATTTTTAATAGAGACAGGGTTTCACCGCATTGGCCAGGTTGGTCTCAAGCTCCTGACCTCAGGTGATCTGCCCGCCTCAGCCTCCCAAAGTGCTGGGATTGCAGATGTGAGCCACCACGCCTGGCCCACATTTATCTTTATTCTCCTTGCTTAGTTTTGTCAGTTAACTTGCAGAACTTAACGGATGCCTTTCTAAGACACAGAGACTGAGATATGTTTTTTGTTGTTTTTTTTTTTTTTATTTGAGACGGAGTCTCGCTCTGTCGCCCAGGCTGGAGTGCAGTGGCCGGATCTCAGCTCACTGCAAGCTC